TGGCTACTTTAATATTATTTTTACGTGTTTTAGCTGGCAACACTCATTCGACCATGAAAGGGAGCCAGTATTTAAACGAAGCTTAATTTTCTAATTTTTAACGATACAATAGCGACGATTATTATTTTAAAAAATTTTTGTTAGGCTTAACATCGATGAAAATTCAACGCAAAATAGGTTAATAGCGATATACTAATATACTAATATTCTAATTACATGGGATATAATAATATATTACACTAATAATGGATTTTTTCATACTTTTCGGTTATCCGACTTTTCAATTATCCGACCAACCCCAGTTCCCAATTGAGTCGGATAATCGAGGTTCTACTGTACTGGCATGAGAGCTCCTCCTTTAAAGTGTTTGTAAAAAGATTGAAGTTTTTAATATTCCGGGATATTTTTCAATGTGTCTTTACATATTAATTGTTGCTTTGTATTTGGCTTACGTAAGAAAATATTTTACTTCTGTTTCTGTCAGAATTTTAGTTACTCGATTCTAAGTAATGCGTAGATTAGAATTTTGAAGTAAACTTACCTGATAATTATTAAAGTAAAAGTTATTACCCAACGGCGAGTAACTTCCATCAAATAAATAATCGCAATCTGGAAATAATCGTTATATGAATATTATTTATTTTTTTTCGACACAATTAAAATATAATGATTTCTTTTAATGTTTGAATAAATGATAACAAATCTACCAGTCGCGTTAAAACACAGTGTAAAATGAATTTGTATTAAAATGTCTTATATTTTCTGATGTTATCTGACTTTACATGTTGGATAAGAAAGAACATGGTGAATTATTATTTGTACAAACGTTCGAAATGTCACAAACATAATTAAATATCATTAATAACATTTAGAAATATTTCGTTAATTTTCTCTCAATTTCTTGTGTGTTTAGTTTTTGCAGTTAACGCAGTTATTAAGTAATAAATAAATAACTTAATATACTTAAGTTTGAAAGTATTATCTGTGCGTAACACATTTACTCGGTCGTAATTCTTATTTGCTTAGTGGCTGGTGTGGCTTATAAAAATTTGGGCTAGGAGATTCTGTTTTATTTTATTTGTATGCGTTACTTTAGTTTGAATACAGCAGAATTAAATTACTCAGAATTAATTCTTGACAATTAATTGTTATTAATGGCATTGACTTATTTTTTTCTTCTAATCTTTTCTATTTAGCCGAGAAAATATTACAGCGGTGGTTATTACAATTTACTGTATAATATTTTCGGTAAAATTTATTATTTATTTCGTATTTTTTATTCATTACGACATTATATAAAGACTTAATATGATTTTACGTTGAATAAGCATAAATTAACTTACTTAAATAACTCATAATGATGAAAAATATTCGAATCGAAACGCTTCGACAATCAAATATCAACAATCGTCAATATTATATTATTAACGCGTATCGCCAACGTAACAATAGAAAACGTAAATACGTCACGCTAACAAAATTATGCAATTTTCACAAATAAAATATTCGTTTTTTATTTACCTTTAGCTTGTGAGATGCAGATACAACGGGTAATAAGCGAATCTTTAATTCATTAAAATACCCATAAATCTATAATTCATAATCTAAATATATAAAATTACTTGTCCTGACTAACTTTAGTCACTGATTCATCATCGCTTAGAGCAAACCGCTGAAACTAAAGAAGTGAAATTTGGTACACAGTTAGAGAACGTCATGGGAATGCACAGTAAGAACGGATTTTTCGAAATTCCCCAGCGAGGGGAGAGGGAGAGCATTACCTGACTTAACCTGAAGAACGACTTTTGAAATTGATCCTATACTTTCCTTTAAACTGATAACATTTCAGACATTGTCATAAATATTTTCATATGTTTCGATTTTTTAACCAAATGTTCGAACCGTTTTAAATTCGAATTTGTTATTGGATATTGGTTCGATTATAGAACGATTGTAAACGTTCGAGAAAATTGATCAAATTGGAAACAGTTCGTTTGATTCTCGGCAATTCTCTTCAGCGGTAGGTGTTATATAACAATTACTATGGTTGTTGAAATACTGAATATAAATGGGGTTTGCTTGCAAAGCCTTTGCGGGCGAAGTCGCGGGAAACAGCTAGTTACATATAAAAGACTTCTCTCGGAAATAAAGTGAGACATTGATTAGCATGTAAAAAGAGTTGCAGTACCATATGAAACTGCTATAATAAATAACGCCATTTTTATGATTGTATTCATCTCTCTGAATAGTGCAGCACAAGTATAAAAACAAGTCATGTAAATACCGTAGCCTTAAGTAATTGGAATGATGTACTCACGAATGCCATTAAATTATTCAATTTGATACACAAGTTCGGTGTGTTCATGGACAAAATGATTCAAACTCGATTTTGAAATTTTTCATTTCATTTGAATTTCGAAGAAATCCTCGGATAAACGGTAAAACGTCTTTTGTACAATCCGACCAGTGATGGTAATTTGCGAAAAGACTAGTATTGACTGTCACGTCTGTAATTAATGACACAGATGAGGTAGTCACTACCAACACAGAAACGGATGAAGTTGTAATAGGCAAGGAAGGCACGCATGACATGGAAAAGTTTTTCTCCAGCTCCGAAGTTTTCAACAGAAAAATCAACGGAAATACAGATATCTGTATTTCCAGCTCTTCCGGGCTTCAATATTTGTAATTATCCTTTCGAACTAAGCTAAACTGACCTTCTGGTGTACGACGTATCATCTAACGGTATAAAGGAACACACGGAGAATCGGTGTAACGAAGAAAATATACCGGCAGAGGAAACAAAGTGTGTCATCGCCTATGTAGATTATGCTATATATTTGAAAGAGAATAATAGTAGTTCAAGTTCTTCTTGCGCAAAGAACGGTTATTTAGAAAGATTAAGATCCGTAATGTGGGCTGCCGGACAGTATGGAACGGGACTTGACACATCAGGTAGAGACCGCCCTGGTTCCTTCGACACCCCGAATTCGATGTCAGAGCGATAGACTGAAGTCTTAATCGCTCAAACATCCGGCCGTCACCTTGTTATGACACTTGCACATAAATTGTTTCTAGTTGGTCGGCAATGTCACATAATATATTATTTCAGCGAGAAATTGATATTCGATGTATCAATACACCATTTCGTATACGATTAACTACGACACATATATTGAGGACGTTCTGTATTTAATAATAACGGATGAAAATTTATCCAATAATCTAGTGTTCTATATGAAGAGTTATGGTAGTGACCCTGACGGCTACTAAAAATTCACTAACTGACAACATATACAGGAATTAGAGTGGACGGACGTCCATTTATTTCGTTAAATTTTATGCAGTTTATCCATTTTATTATGATTAATTTCAACCTGTTTGGTCCTGGATAAAAAAATGCATACCAGAATGAAAATAACCTCGAAAGCTAAGCACAAGTTCGTCTGAGAAAAAATGGCTTCCAATTAAACATTCAGAAAACTGACGGCTAAGGCAATAAAGGCACAGTTAATATCTGAATTAGCTTGGAATTTTTACCAGTAAATTGATCCAGATATTCGTCATCTTGCTGCCCTCATTGTGATTCATGCCTAAGCCCACAATGAGTATAAAAAAAGGCTTTCTTAGTGCTCTCAGAGTGAAGAGTTAAAAACAAAATGGAAAAAATAAATATGAATTTGAAAGTAATATCTCAAAAATTACAATGGTAGAGATAACAGACTTATCACACTGCTATTGGTAACATTAAAATAACACTTATATCGTCAGAATGCAACTTTATTACTGGTATGCATTTTGGTAGAAAAGATCATCAGCCATACATAAAAATATTTAGATCTGTTGTATAAACAAATATGTACAGAAACTGACAATTATATTCTACAATCTTAAACATACCTGTTCCAGATTTATTTTCACCACAGTGTATAGTACTTTGAGGATTACATTATGAACAGGCCTACAATATGTAAAAAGAAACTATAGCAGTGTGATAAGTCTCTGTTATCTCTACCATTGTAATTTTTGAGATATTACTATCAACAATTTTTGAGACTAGTTCTTTTATGAATTGTTTGTTAGTTCTTACCACAAGGCTGACATCCTTATTATTGAGTAATATGCACTCCTAATTGAAGAAGGTATTATTTACTAAAAATGGGCTTCTTAAGACTGCATATTTCGAGTAATGATTTAGATGTATTATTACAATTAATTATCTCTTGTCATATTTAGCTGAAATCCTATTAAATGTTAGTGAATGTTTGGTAGGATCAGTTAAAAAAGCTTTACTGTTCTGATTTACATTTAATTGATCTTAGTATAAATCCATCCATCTCTTCTATTTTCGATAAGTTTTGAAGGATAATAGCAGTTATGGATGGATTTATAGATTATAATTGTCTGCCAACTTACTCGAACCAAATTAGAGTTTGCATAAATTAACTGCTGGATCTGATTATATAACAATAAATAAATTATATACACAATCAGAATAATCCATAATATGATTATTTTATCCCAACTAAAAGTTTGAATTATTTAAATGTTTCATAAAAGAAAACATTATGCCCCTTTCAAGAAAATTTGTAACCATAAAAGGAAATATTAGAAATTTTTTCAACTTTTCAAACTAGCAAATTAGAGAAAAAGTAATTTATTCATAAAATTTTAAAATATATAAATATGAAAAAAAGACAATATTGTAAATATTTTTTTTACAAAATAATTTAGGGTAGTGTGGTATTAAAAAATCCACAGTAAAATTAATTATTAGTTCTTCAAACTTTCAATCACTACAGTGGAATGACTGTAACAATGATTCTTACGATGGAGTTAACAGAGTATATGAATTAATCACTTGAATGAAACAATTACATTGTGTATATATATTTCTGAATAAAAATATGAGTAAAGATCATATATTAATATTTAATTTGTATTTTAATCTCTCATACAAATGTTTTTCTAAGATAAAAATTTGTACATTTAGATATTGGCTGTTACAGATAAAAAAATGAAACATAAAATGCCAAACAATTAATATTTTTCCCAATTTAACACATAATTTGAGACAACATATCTACAATTATGGTATTCTTGAAGCACATTTCCACAATTAAAGGCAGTTGGAATATACTGTAATTGGCATTGCTTTGGTTTTCTTTGTTATTTTTTTGTTTTTTTGAAAAAACTATATTTTTAACTATACAAAGTAGGCATACTAGTTTTATACATTCTCAGTCAAACATTTTATTATTTTCTTTTTTATTTGCATATTGCTTCTGGAAACAGTGGTACCGCAAATATAACCAAGAGTGCTACCATCAAATTTTCATTTTCCAAATGTACAGATATAAATTTAAGGATATGTGGCACCATCTAATTCCCATGACTAGTTAATCTATAAATTTTAAGTTTATCTGTACACTTTTTATGTTCCTTGCAGAAATTATCACATTAAGTAATTCTTATCATTTACGTGGTTTTAAATAACTGAATCAGAAGGCAAGATATTTCATGCAAAAGCCCACTGTACACCTATGTAACTTACTGTGTATTTGCATTTTAATTGTGGCACTATAATGTTGAATTATGTCAGTTTTTTTTTTTAAAGATCCCTGGATTAACTAAGAATTTGATTTAGAGTAGAGTATGAAATGGATAAATTTTGATGGGTGGATGGTTTTTAGCATTTTATAATTTTAAATTTTCAAAGGCAAATTGCATGTAGGAAGAAAAATTCCTAGGCTAGTAGGAATGGAGCACCCTTCACTTCTGTGCACTGCACAAACAATACATCAGTTTATGTTGATACTTGTTCCTTTATTGATGATGCCTTTCAAAAAATGAAAAGAACCAGTATGAAACTATGAATATGTTACAGTTATTTTCACGATGCTTTGGAAATTGCACTGTCACTATTATTCTCACCTTGTCCTTTGTTATTAGTGAGCATTGCACTTAAATTTTTATTCACTTTATATATACTTCTTGATCCGTCTTTATCACTATTCCAATTAGGTTTATTATATACATTATCATCTGTGTTAAAACTGTGATCACCAAACACTGAACAATGGTCCCTGTCATTAAATCGTACTTGATTATAAGTAGCTATACAACTGCTAAGCAGTCTGTCACTAGGTTCTCTGCTATGGAGAGTCAAATGTCCTTCAGTAAGATTGCAACCATTAGAATTAATGTTGCTCACATGTTCATTAGAATTAATGTCAGATGCACTCAGACCTCTTGTGGTCATGTATGGTTCTTGATTCACAATGCTGTTGCGATTATCTGCTAGATTTCCCATTTGAAAGCTGCTAAAAGGTTGATAAAAATCACTTAAATTATCTACTGTTCCACCAATAGCACCTTTACTTCCATTTTGGCTCCCAATGATATTATTTGTTAAAATTGACGTTGCACTAGTAAGACCAATGTTTTCACTGGGAAAAGGACGGAATACACCAATGTTAATTAATGTTGATGATGTAGGTTTTCCTGGTGGGACAGTTGTCATGGCAATGTGAGGAAGTGTACCAGAATTAGTTCGAGTAAATGATCCACTGTTGCGACCAACACTATTTATGGTACTTCCTCTACCTAGACTTCCGGCTGTACTTCGTCCCATATTTTCACAGCTACCATCACCAGAATGGCTACCTGAATGAGAACCACTTGAATGACTACCTCGTTCTGAAAATAATTATTATAATTACTATTAACATAAAATACTAAGATAAGACTAAAAATATAAAATATTTTAAAGAAATGAATACCCGTTACTAATTGAATAATAACTGTAATAACTGTTTTTTATTTTGGAATGATGATTCCAATTTATTAATAATAAATTTTATTTAAAATATAGGAGCTAAAATTTTTATTAACTTTACAGAACAAAGAATGATTGGATCATTTATGCTTACCAAATACAAAAACTAAATATAAAGATTTTAATTCTATTGAAATTTATTAATAATATATGTATTTAACTACAGAAATAAATAAAATTAAATGACAATAATTCCTATGAAGTCAATTTTTAATGCTAGGCATGAGGTTAACATATATGTATAATGTAAATAACGTAATTATCAGATATTGCAATATTTATATTAAAGTCAAACAATTGTTGGATTAAATCAGGCTACATTACCACTACTATTAATAATTAAATACAGAGTAAATTCTCTAAATTATTTAATAAATATTAATTTAATTATAATTATTAAATTTAATGAGAGATGGAATCTAACTTAACACCTAACTCTAGTGACAAGTTACTCAATATTTAATTATTAATAGTAGTGATGAAGTAGTCTGATTTAATCTGGCAATCATTTCGCTTTAATGTAAATAACATGCCAATAATGCATTTAGAAAAACTTCCTTTATGAGCCATATTTCTTATACATCATTTTTTCAATATTGGAGACTATTCTTGAATCCACAAAAAATTTATAACTATGTATATTTTAATTTCTTTTTTATATTTATATGCTCTATTATAGGTTTCTATTGCACTAATTATGTCTGTGTAATGATTAATTCCGATTTAAAATTGCAAGTATAAAAATTATTCTAAAGAACACTACTGCATTGTACAGATAAAGAAAGATATAATTGTTCTAACTCATTTGTATGACTGATAAAAAATGTTGAGCAGGCCGGATGTCTGAGCAGTTAAAATGGCAGCCATCTGAGGGACTTGGGATTAAATCTGGATGGGTCAAAAAACCAAACTTTTTGGGGATAATCTGTCTGAATATGTTGGGCTACGTCCCACACCATCTCTGCCCCATTGTGTGCTTCTGAACCCATAATGGGCTTGCCAAAAAAGACCTCTTCATGACCACAGAGCAGAAAGAGTTTAATTAAAAAAAGGTGGGGAAAACAAATTGAAAATATTTCTTTAGTTAAAAAATTACAGCTCCTATATTTAAATTAAAATATTGTTAAAAATAAAACTACTCATCTTTCAATCATAAAATATATTAATGTTATCTCAATTATATTATATATATATATATAATTGATTGAAATAATACTTTCAAATCTGCATACTGGTATATCTAATGCTTTCAGTAGCCAATTTTGAGATGTGGGGTTTAAACTAGTATGGTGGAAAAAAAAATAATAATATATTTATATATATTATTCCTTTGAATTATATGTAATAATTTGGAGATTATATATATATACAGTAGAGCGTTGATTTTCCGAAAGTAAATCATCCGAAAGAATTCCAGTCGGCAAATTTAAATTTTCGCCAATGTTGTGACACTTCAATCTTTGGCTATGTCTTGGGCTACTCAAATATTTTACGTTTTTGATACTAAATTAACATCTGAAGTATAATTTTTTATTATTTTTATATTTTTCAATATATTTATTTTGTTTGTACAAAACAAAGAAATAATTTTTAACAATACAATAGTCTTTGTTAGGCTTAACATCGACGAAAATTCAACGCGAAGCGACACACAACGGATAAAAATTTTGACATCGAATACGTTAAACAATTTTTTCGTACGTAAATCAGTTATCCGGACAACCCCAGTCCCCAATTGATTCGGAAAATCGACGCTCTACTGTATTATCTCCAAATTGGCTACTGAAAGCATTAGATATACCAGTATGCAGATTTGAAAGTATCATCTCAATTATTAAAAATGGTCTTCTGGTTTCACTTCTGTTAGCAGTTCATTGTAGATGTAATTATAAAATAGTCAAAATGAAATACTGTATTAAGATTAACCTTCTAAATTTCATGGGTGGAATTATAAAAAGGTTGCCAAATGATGAAATTTTATTATTATTTTATTTCACAGCCTATTCATTCAGGAAAATTAGAGAAATACCAATTAGACATAAATTATTTTATTTCTTAGAATGATTTGTGAATTCGTACCATGTAGAACATTTTAAGTAAAGTATACTAGCTATTTCTAAATCTTTCACACACAGATACATATGTACTGTACAACTTGCATACTGTAACAACAGAAAAAGTATTAAAAATTAATATATTTACCTCGTAAGGGATTATCTGTATTTCCTGTACAACTAACATCATTATCAAAACTTCCATTTCCTTGTCTAGCTGTTCCACCACTTGAACAACCCTCTCCACACCGAGTTCTTAACCTATTAATAATAATAATAATAGTATATTGAGAAAAAATATATATATTATAAATATTTGAATTAAAGGAAAACAAAAAAATTATAAAAATCAGATTTTTTAACACTTTTTAAAGAATCGATAACAGAATTAAAATGCATAATTTGTTTCAAAATTATATAAACATTATGTTGTAGTCTTTGAAAGATTATTGAAAAAGTTTCTGATAGTGATGAGATGATCTGCAATTTCAATTAAATATTTAATAAATAGGGATTATAATAATTTATATTTAAATATATAAATAAAAGCTCATTATAATAAATCTTAAAGCATGAAAGAGAAATTGGAAAGGAAGGAATATGATTTATTTTTTCAGTGCAAACTGAGAATGGACAGATGTAGAGAATTCTAGCTTTAAAACCTATAATCCTTGGGACAATATGATTTATGTAATTATGCAAATATTTTTGAATTTCCAAATTTTCATCATGGGTGTTCAGAATGGTGACTTGAGTGATATTTTGAAAACTTTAAGTACTGTGTGTCATTAATGTTGAATCCTGCAAGAAAGGGTCAGCATCAAGTGTATATATAAAGAATGTGCTTCTAATGTCATATTGTCGGTCATTTTTAAAGAAGAATTGAATTTTATTTTTGAGTTGTTAACCATCTGGTTCTAATTAGTATTTAAAAAAAATAGAAGAAAGATTTAAAGTGACCTAAAATTGTTTGTTTGATCATTATTAATCAATATATATAAATATATTATTTTTTTTTTTTTCACCATACTAGTTCTACTGTATTATCTCCAAATTGGCTACTGAAAGCATTAGATATACCAGTATGCAGATTTGAAAGTATCATCTCAATTATTAAAAATGGTCTTCTGGTTTCACTTCTGTTAGCAGTTCATTGTAGATGTAATTATAAAATAGTCAAAATGAAATACTGTATTAAGATTAACCTTCTAAATTTCATGGGTGGAATTATAAAAAGGTTGCCAAATGATGAAATTTTATTATTATTTTATTTCACAGCCTATTTATTCAGGAAAATTAGAGAAATACCAATTAGACATAAATTATTTTATTTCTTAGAATGATTTGTGAATTCGTACCATGTAGAACATTTTAAGTAAAGTATACTAGCTATTTCTAAATCTTTCACACACAGATACATATGTACTGTACAACTTGCATACTGTAACAACAGAAAAAGTATTAAAAATTAATATATTTACCTCGTAAGGGATTATCTGTATTTCCTGTACAACTAACATCATTATCAAAACTTCCATTTCCTTGTCTAGCTGTTCCACCACTTGAACAACCCTCTCCACACCGAGTTCTTAACCTATTAATAATAATAATAATAGTATATTGAGAAAAAATATATATATTATAAATATTTGAATTAAAGGAAAACAAAAAAATTATAAAAATCAGATTTTTTAACACTTTTTAAAGAATCGATAACAGAATTAAAATGCATAATTTGTTTCAAAATTATATAAACATTATGTTGTAGTCTTTGAAAGATTATTGAAAAAGTTTCTGATAGTGATGAGATGATCTGCAATTTCAATTAAATATTTAATAAATAGGGATTATAATAATTTATATTTAAATATATAAATAAAAGCTCATTATAATAAATCTTAAAGCATGAAAGAGAAATTGGAAAGGAAGGAATATGATTTATTTTTTCAGTGCAAACTGAGAATGGACAGATGTAGAGAATTCTAGCTTTAAAACCTATAATCCTTGGGACAATATGATTTATGTAATTATGCAAATATTTTTGAATTTCCAAATTTTCATCATGGGTGTTCAGAATGGTGACTTGAGTGATATTTTGAAAACTTTAAGTACTGTGTGTCATTAATGTTGAATCCTGCAAGAAAGGGTCAGCATCAAGTGTATATATAAAGAATGTGCTTCTAATGTCATATTGTCGGTCATTTTTAAAGAAGAATTGAATTTTATTTTTGAGTTGTTAACCATCTGGTTCTAATTAGTATTTAAAAAAAATAGAAGAAAGATTTAAAGTGACCTAAAATTGTTTGTTTGATCATTATTAATCAATATATATAAATATATATTGATATATATATTTATATATATCAATTTATATATAAATGAAGATGTTTGCTTGTTCACTATACACTCCTAGGCTGTTCAACCAATTGCTACAAAACTTGGCAGTTACATTTACATCTAACTTAGATAATGTCATACATCCCACTCCAAAATATCTATTAAATTTCTGTAAATCAGTTAATTTCTATATACATGTAGCACCATTTATTGGAAAAAATTTAACAAAATAATAAACTAAATATAATTCTTATAAAAAAAGAATTAATTTAAAAAAAAGATATATTCATTTAATTACTGCAACAATGACATAGCATAAAATCAAAACTGTTACCCCGTAAAAAGTCTACAGTAAGTATATAAGTATTTAATTTTTCACATCTAACGACTCAGATTTCTTCATTTCTGAATGGTATCATACTTTCTTAATTCTAATAAGTGCCCTCCAGTAACAGAGTGCATAAAACCACCAAACTATGGTAGTTAGTCAAGGGTTTGGGCATAGCAAACAAGCTGGCCACATGGAGTTTTCTTCACATTAGTAACACCTAAATAGCGTCCAATTTTCCATAAAAGCCTTCCTGGGATGCATCCTATAGGCAGAACATTAGTGTTGCATTGCTGTAACCAATAAACCAAACTAATTCTAACAAGTGATTTATTGTGACACCATCACAATGCTGGACTGCAACTTTTTTCACAATGTTCTCAATGCATTTAGTCATGGTCTTGCCCCTGTACATCACACTTTTCCTGTCAGCAATATAAATTTTAAATCAAAGTAACATGACTTGTGTTCCAAACTGGAAGTTCCTATACAGTTAATCTGGGCCTCCTGCCACTAAGCTTTTCACATCTGATCTTCACTTTCATCTACCTAACTCCTTTCTTGAGATTAAGGAAGGAAAGACAGATAGCAGATAGGCAATGACAATCAAAATTCATAGGTCTACAATTTTTTTAAATTGCAGCCCAATAATTTTTCTATAAATGCAATATTTATGAGAAAAACTTCCCACATAGTTTATAGAATCTATTATCAAAATTTAAGCACTTTATTATCACATATAAAAATGCGAGAATAATTGCTTTTAAGATTTTTGACAAGACTATGTCTTGTTTATAAAATCGTACTACCCGATATTCTTACCTGCATAGAGGTATGAAGGAGTACATGTCGAGAGTTGATATTTGGCACAGAGTATTAGGTGCCCAAATCATTTGCGCATAAAAAAAATCCAGACTCTTAAGTAGTCAGGGAACTGAGAATCAAGTCAAAATAAAATACAAAATGGCAACCCTCTTCTACAAACAGGCAAAACAGCCACCTCACCCCACCAAAGTCAGGTAGGGGAGAGTACCACCCACAGTCATTCTAAGAAGTGAACTCTGACCTTAGGACTGAACACGTAGTTTCTTCAAATTTGATGTAAAACCGGTTTTATGTCATTACAAATGTTTTTTTTTTTTTTTTTTAACATTATCTAGTATAGTAAAATCGTAGGACCAATAAAAATTTGACATTATATTAAGGTTGTTGTTACATTCGATGATGTTATAATCGGGCTAAACTGTATATTGTTTGTGCAAAATAAAAAAATAATTTTGGATGATACAATAGCCATAATTATTTTTTTCAAAAACGGGAACTTTTCGTTACGCATCAACAAAAATTCAACCTGGGCCGACATGCAATGGAGAGAAATTTTGAAATTAGATAGGTTAATTTCATCAAAAATGCATTGTGGACGATCTTGTGGTTGTGGCTGGTGAAGTTTGAATGATTGCGCCCAAAAGCAGCGATATCAAAGAAGATAGGAGAATGAGAATAAGACCTGCCTTGAGCATCAAAGTGATTCCGTCTCCGAGACAGTCTAGTCCCATATACGGTTTTGATGTTTTACTTGTTTTACTTAAACAGGTTTTATACGAAGTCTTTTGGATGCTAAGGTTAGCAACTTCAATCACATGCGAAGCCACCAAACCTATACAACGCGGATCACTTTTTGAATATTACTAGTAGTCTGGTATTAGTAGTAGTCCTCTCTTCTGAGTTGCAGTCAATGACTACTTTTGGTTGAATTACTTCAACCCCCTTCTCCAACAGTCTCTTCTTTCTATCGGACCAGTGATATGATGAAATTTGAATAGGAAAAATACATAACATAAGGATACTTCTTCAAAATATAAGTTTTGAGAGTACCAAGTTTAAATATTTGGTTTGTTTTTTGCAAAATTTGATTGGTTGGCAAATTACCCTTTGATATTTGGCTATAAATGATAGTTTCTTAGACTTAACATTAAGAAAAAAGTATTAAAAATATGATTATATTTTTAATACTAATATAAAATATAATCTGGTTTCACTTCTGT